GAAATAAAAATTAGTTGAATGAGACTATTTTAATTATATTTCATACTCTATAACTTTTCTATATCTCTACAATATTATAAGTGGGAATTTTGTTAGGGATTAAACGGACATAAAAAAAATGTTAGTGGTTCTTGAGGCATAACCTCACTGTACCTTATCTTTACATTGGGGTACATCCTTACACCTGCTAGCACATTTCGGCGTTTCATCCTTACGGAGTCAATCCTCAACGTTATAACGTTAAGGAGCAAATCCTCAGCTCTTCTATCCCTACTATTTCATTCATTTATTTAATTGAAACCCATCGCCTACTCTCTTCTGTTTCAGCCGCGTTTCAGCCGCAGCATCCTCTGCTCCTAAAGCCTTCCGGATGGTTTCAATTTCTCAAAGGTCCTCAGACAGTCGATTATGAATAATGTGTTGCGGCTCTTCAGTGGATTTTCCGCTTCTTCCGTGTTCTACTCTTGTAAGTGTTTCCTCTATTCAACTAATTTGCATTGTATAGTTACTGTTTTCCGCATCATCTCTGTTTCATTCTACTTGTTTATTTCTCTCTGTGGTTGTGCTGTACGGGCTCCGAACATCGTTTATGGTAGTAGTTTGGGTGGCTTGAGTTGATGATTCCATCTTCCAATTGTGTTTAGTTTCCTATTTATATTTGTGTAATCTATGTGTTTGTTTAAATGTCCAAATGAAATCAAGTAATTTCCTGCTCTCAATCCTCAATTTATACTTGCCATGTTTAATGAGTATATATTACAACATCTACGGTAATAACTATTCCTAGGCTTTGCACCTTTCTTGTTCTTAGATCTCTAGGCCACATTATAATGTATTCTTTTCTGCTTTTTTTATCATGCTCTAGCTAAGTTACAAAGCCAGTTTTCTTTAAGGCTAGGTTTAGTATAGCTTTGACATTTTGGAGTGCTCACATCTTTTTAACCTTTATAGTCTAGCAAAACTAGAAAATAAAGTTTGAATGTAGTAGCAGTATTAATGTAGACTACACTGCCCCTGTCACTAAGTTAGTTCTACTTTTGTTCACCGTTCAAACTTGAGTTAAAGTCTGAAACTGAGATATTTTTTAAAATGTTTTTAAAAGTTGCCACTCTTTACTTGTGTTTGGCTGACGTTGTTCTATATGCTGCTTAGCATAGTCCTTCACTAGATCTGGGAAATCGACTTCATGACTTGCTAAGCTACTGGAATTTATGGATAAAAACTAATTTCATTCCAGCAATAATAGTGAAAATAGCTTCTTTGAGTGCTATTCAAGATAAAATCAATCATAGCAAAACAAACAAACTGTTGCTTAATAGTGAAAACATGTCTGTAATGTGAGTTCTTGTTTGAATCTGTTAGTTGAGCACATGCTTCAGGTTGTCATGTACTGAGAAACAGTTCATTCCTTCATAAAATTTGTAATATAGAGTTATTAATACGTTGAAATTCGAACCGTGTTGGACTGGTTTTGTATAACTTGCAATATCTTTTTGCACCTAGGATAACCTCACAAATGTCGAGAATGCAAGTCTTGGTCAATCGGATAGCTGAAAGCTCAGTCATGTTATAATGTATTCCCCTATGACTTGGGCTGACAGTTGCTTGTCTAGCTCAGCCCCTACTTAGCTTTCCGGTAGGCATCAGGAATTTCTATTCTGAATTCCCACTTACTCATGTCAATGTCAAATCCCCCCTGTTCTTTCTGCGGCAGTTGTGGATTCGCTATACTGAAAACTGAGATTCCATAGAATCTACCGCAGTGGTATCTTGCATTTTCACGAGCGTGATCTTGCTCGAAGCCTCATTCTTATAGAAAATATAAGCATCTATGAGGATTAGAATCCTGAACTCTTATTGCACACCATCATTTAGCTATTACATTGATTTTTCTTGTTGCTGGTCATATGTATAGAACCAATTTCGGGAATAGTATGAAAGATCTTCTCAGGCTAGCATCTAGGATAAGTATAAAGCATCCAGGAAAAACCAAAAGCGAGTAGGAGTTCTCGCGGATGGAGATTGAGTCTGAAGCTAGGTATCACCAATTCCTAGCTTTCTAAACCAGTTCAAGCATTTCCTAATTTAGTTAGTGATTTGTGAAAACAACAGAGTGAAGCCGAAATGAAACTTACCAAATGGTGTTTTAGTATTCCTGTTTCTTCAATCCTGAACAGTATTAGTGAACCTTAGTTTAATCTGGACCTACTATTTTAAATGTTAAGTTCTTAACTTCTTATTATACGAAGAATCATTTTGCAGGTGGTCATGAGCTGAGTCTCACTCCTGGAAATGCAAGTGGACGGTTGGCTTGTGGTAAGGAAATCAGAATTTCTTCTTTCAAGGTGCTCTTATATGAGTAAAAAGAAAATAAAACCTTTAAAGTTCCTGAATAATTAATCGAAAACAGAAGTAAGACTAATAAGGACAATATGTAGATGATATGTTGATAAAAAAAAAGTACATTATGTATTTTTCAAATACAAATATTTATTATTAGACTGAATATGTAGAGATACTTAAGACCTTATGATTTCATGTTTATTTCAATAAATTTGTTGTCCGGTGTTATATGTGCTTGCAACTACAACTTTTTAAGAAATATATCTCTATTTTTTTTTTCAAAAAATTTTATGAACTGCCCCATACACAGGAAAGAACACTCATTTTCAAATATCATTTTCCAGCGCAATAAAGTGAAGGCAATGACATAAGGCAATATCATTTTCAAATATCAGTTAATGCATTTTAGAACAATATAAATAAGAGTTACTTAAAATGAATTTTTTTGAAATAATCAGACTGCATGCTGATAGGTGCTAAAGATGACTATGTTATTTTTTAAATTTTAATAAAAACAGTCTATTTTGTAACATCTTATACAAATAAACTCTTTTAAAATCAAGTGAAAACAAATGATAGATTAACTGGTTGATCAACCAGAAACACCATGTTTCGTTTATGTCTGTCTTTCTATGTGACATCTTCTTTTTATATAAAATAGGTCTTTTTGTAATACAGTGTCAGACATTTTAGATATTAACTAGCGTTTATAATAAATTTAACTTTTTTTGAATTCTTGATTCGAATTACAGTATGTAGGAGTGAGACTGAGAAATAAGATACATGTGATACTTTGGGTTTGAAGTCCAAACTTCCACTTTTTGCCAAATGGATTTTACGCAATAAACTAAAATAAACTCTAGAGACTTTATTTGTTGTTGATTAAAAATGGCAGAATCTTAGACAAGTTAAAAACATTCTAAACTGCTGCAATGTATAGGGAAAGGTATGCAATATGAAACAACTAAATTGAGGAAATTTGCATGAATAAGGTTGACTTTTTAGTTTTATAAAAAAGAGTATGTTTTATAACATCTTCGTTTTAAAAAATAACGAGCCTCTTTTTTAATTAAGTGCAAGCAGGAAGGTGCTATGTGGCACATCTCGCCCATGAAGTAAATCATCGCACCCAAGTCCAACAAATTGGGGTATAATCAATAGATTCGTTTTCGGGAGCGGTTCATCCTTCCCGAACGCAGCATACAATTCTTTGTTGTACTGCGCTCCCAAAGTGAAGGGAACACTCATTTTGAAATATCTTTTTCAAGGGCAATAAAGTGAAGGCAATGGCATACAGTAATAAAAAATAAGCCCTTAAAGTTTAATACATTTTAGAACAATATAAACACGAGTTACTTAAAATGATTTTTTTTAAATAATCAGGCTGCGTGTTGATAGGTGAGATAACAGTTCTGGTTGTTATCTTCATCTTCAATTATATCTCTTTGTTTTAAGTTAATAAAACAACCACGCCCTCCAAAAATGCCCTCCAATATGACAATTCAGAATGTATTTTTGTTTTGTTTTAATTCCTCGATTTAGTTCATCGTGCTTTAGTACAAGGGTAAGACTGCGTACATCTGACCCCCCATCTCACCGTAGATAGAATCCTTTACGACACTGGAGTAATGATAATAATAAATATTAATGGTGAGTAGTTGTGTCAAACACCTATTTTATTACATCATCTCAGTCTTACAAAGGCGTCCTCGAGCATAAAAAGTTGACCTTAAATATTCTCACCATTATCTCAGTCATATTGGTTTAACATAATAGTACCCTAATCTTTTTACATGCCCATATTAATCAGTCTTGGCCTAGATAAAGCACATCCTGACCTGATCTTTTTTATTTCATTTTCTCAAATGATTGATGATGAAATGATTACTGGATATGAACCACATGATGAGGTTCTGAATTCGGACTTGGAACAACAAATATTCAAAGCAATAGATCCACCATTCTTTTGCAGTTAGTTTGTGGTTTAATGACCTTAACGTATATTATGCATTGATGAAGTGGTTTACCATGTAATATTGTCACACGAAAGTGAAACATAAAACAATTCTTCATTTTACTCAAATGATGAATGTCTTCTTTGGGAGGTCTGCATCCACCAACGGTGTACAAAGAGGCAAGTGTAATGATAAGGTTGTGAAGTTGTTGGTGCAGCTTAAGTTTTTCTACACGTGACTTTCAATGTATTAGAGTATTAGACCTTGATAAATATTTAACTATTTTTTTCAAGCAAAAACATTTTTGTCTTTGTTATAACGTGTTTTCATGTAACAACACAGATGCATGCAAGTATTTGATGTGAACCTTACACCTAATATGGTTATTATAGTCATCTTGATTGCTTTATTTCCCCACATGAAATCTAGCATACAAATACTTTATTGATTAAGATTCTTAATTTATCAATACATAACAAACTATGCATTCAAATATTGTATTCATATTACTTTTATTGACTCAAACTATATCGAGGAATTAATATCTATATTTGTACAATAGCCTTGGGCATCACCAAGGACGCGCAACGCGCGTTAGTGAACTAATATTATTATATATGGCTGGAGTTAATGTTTTTTATATTAACTACGGATTATTTTTTTCATAAGTCACTAAATTCAACCATAAATAAATTCATTAAATGGGCATGTTGAAATTAATTTTTTGTTCTATAATCTGCATCAGAGGCTTTAAATAAACACGTTTAAGTTCAACAATACTGAATTATAGCCTTATAGGCAAACTGCGATTCTCATCGACCAGTAATTCTGACTGAAAATTTACAGGAAGATTTCAAAGCCAAGCAAACATGACTTAACGACAATACGATGATAAAAAACATCACGATTACATAGTTTAACCTTAATACTTCGTATATGTATATAATAGCTCGACAAGCTAATTAGATTAGTTGTACTTTGAAACAAACTTGTTGATTAAAGCTAACGCATTGCTAGTAACCTGGGCAAGATTGGTGACCTGGGCCTTAATGGAGGCCTTAATAGATCCATTCAAGGCCCGGCCCGCGAAACCATCCATGCAAGTGTTCTGGTCAGTGAGGGCAGCGCTGACCCAGGTCTGAGCATTGCCGACGTGGAACATGAAGTCCGGTGACTGGACCCGGCCCATGTTCTTGAGCTCCTGGACCGACTTGCTGATCCGGTCCATGCTATCGCTGATCTGGTCCAAGCAATCCTTGAGAGGCCCATATGCGCTGGTCTTGCCGCTGCTCTTACAGAGGTTATTGACGAAGGCCTTGGTGGAGTTGGCCCGGTTCAGGCAGACGGTCAGGGCGGTCTGGGCCAGCTGCTGTGGGCTTTGCTTGATGGTCGGCCCGTACTGAGCCAGCGACGCCACGCACACGTCGGGGTAGGTGGTGGCTCTGCAGGAGGCCTGGATGAAGGTGCTGGCTGCCGCAGTCGCCGCCGTGCCGGAAATGCAAAGTAGAAACACCGCCGCCGCTGCCACCGGGACTAATAAAAGTCGGGCCGTATTCATTTTAATTAAAGAGATTATAATAGTGACAGCCAATGTGAAGCTAGAGTATGAGGGGCAAAGAAAGCTAATTCAAGGATTTATTGTGATTAGCAAAGGATGATGAAATAAAGGGTGAGGAGGTGTGGTATTTATACAGAGTAAGAATGGGTTAATTATTGTGAAGGTGATTGGGACCCACTTCAATGAATGTGACAATGTGCGCCTAGTGTGATTGGGGCTTACTTTTTTGGAAATTGGGGACCAAGTTTGACAAAGCATCATTTTCTACTGGTCCCTTATTTAATTTTCTCATAGTTTGATTTCACACCAGCTTTAGGTTGGATCTCAAGCCTCTGAAGTGTTGGTTGTAACACTATTTGGTATTGCACCATTTCAAAACAGTATTAATGCCAAATGATACTTATATGGAGAGATACATATTGGGCTCAAGAGAACAAGACAAAAATCAATGAGTTATGTACTATTGAGGGGCAAAGTAAAGATCATTAGATTTTGTTTGAGAGATTTTCCAATATTAGAAAAGATAGGTTTTGGAATTCTAATTAAAATAAGCCTAACATGTTTTAATTCTAAAAATGTGAGAATCATTTGATGATTTGATCATTTTAATGCGAAATGAAACTAATATCGAGTAATACATATTGTGCTCAAGAAAAGAAGATAAAAATCAACAAGTTTTGTACTAATTAAATATAAAAAATGTTTAATTTAGAAATATGCTTAGTGCATATACATGTACACAAGTTGTACATGGTATAAAATCAAAAAAATCACATCCCGCCTCTTCTCTCTCAGTTCTCTCTCCCTTCTCTCCCCCCTCTCTCCCTTCTCTCTTTTCTCTTGATCCAATCTCTTCTAAAATTCTCAAAAACAAAAATTGTGTGATCATCATCTTCTTCATACTCCTCTTTCCTTCTCATCCTCTTTTTATTTACCTTTTTATATCAAAATCCTTTCATGATTTGCACAAAAGCAGCTAGCTTATTCATTTTATTTCATCTATTTTTATTATTTTCTATTTTTTTCAAATTGCATGTAAATTGATTACACATACAACTACATCATTCATTTCGATGTATATAGACAATTATTTATTTGTTCTCCCAGACAATTAAAATTGATCACACCGACAACTAAAATGGATCACACAGATAACTATTATCTGTGAACAACTATTGTCTGTGTGGTAAATATTGTTTGTGACACAGACAAATAATTGTCGGTGCAAATATTGTCTGTGTGGTATATATTAGAGTAATATATAATGTTTAAGTGAATATGTTATAATAACATTCTCTCATTGTACCGTCCGGTCGGTGGTGGGGGGCCCCTCGGGGATGCGGTGTCATCCTTTTTTTGGAATGGAGGAAGAGTGAGCGCGTGTTGCATAATGTTTGAAGTTTGAATCCCGTGGTGAGTGCAATGTTTTTAAATTTTTAATTTTTCTTTTCAATTTTTTAAATTAATCCTTCAAACATGTCTATTTAAACTCGATCTCATCAATTTTACACATTGTGATTTTGAATATTAGATTGAAAAATTAATTAGTTTAATTTATTGAGATTTTGAATATTGCCTTGAAAAACTAATTAGTTTAATTCACTGGGTTTTATTTACTTGGTTTTACTAATTAATTTTTGAAATTGAAAAATTAATCAATTTAATTGGTTTTTTTACATACAAAATACACTATAGAGTCAAAAGAAAATTGGTTTTCCCGAAATTGACTTGAAAATTTGTACTGAACATTCATGTAACTCATCCAATTTCGGTTCGATATTCATGACTTTTAAGATAATTAAATTTCTGGTTCTGTATTATTCATGTAGTATTGTTTTTCTTAGACATTTTTGTAATACGTAGTACGGAGTACTTCATATTATTTAACTCCATTTTATCATTTTAACAATATTTGCAATAAACATTATTTAATTAAACTTTGGCCCTACCCTCGATACAAATGCTGGATCCGCCTCTGCCCATAGGTTTATTCATCTAGAAATTCCTCTAAATAGGATTAAAACTTGGAAAAAATGCACAAATAGGACTACATGTATTTTAGGAAGTATAAAACTTATTTGTGATCAAATGAAACCTGAAATAGGACTTATTTGATCCTATGAAAAGTATAAAACTTCCCCTAGTAAGAGTGAATAAGTCCTAATTTAGAAAGAAAACAATGGTAATCATATGTACTTTGTTCATGTTTTAATCCTATATAATGAATTTTCTCTTTATACATCACTTGTCCATCAGTTGCGGTCACTTGCGGGTCCATGACGGGGGCGACAATGTCATTAGTGAGGGTCTGGAGCTAGTAATCTCTTTGTGTAAGGTACACAAGCTAAGTGAGATGCCTTTGGGTGGAGCTAGGTGTACATAAAATTTGTACACAAATTTTGTACACTTGTCTGTCCCTCACATACAAGTTGTCTGTCGAGAGATGAGTTGTCAGTGGATCCTTTTTTCGATGCCTTTTACCTGTGGTAGCACAAGGCCGAGAGCAAGCAGGAAATGAGACATGTTCGATTTTATTTGTTCCGTATTAGATAGGCGGTGATTTTGCTTAGATCGCGTTAAATTTTATTGGTTTTGTATTTAGTGAGTCTGGTTGCTTGTAACTGGGACAATTGACTCTATCTATTTTTTGGGCTTGTAATCGAGTCTCTATTTTAATGTAATAAAAGTAATAAAAAAATTATTCAGTTTTGAATTTTTACATCAAAATTTAGTATTTTAAACGTATGATTATTCATAACGTTTTTTCAAATTATAAACCACTGCAATAACATAAGTAATATTTTATCTATAAATCATATACTACGTATATGCAAATAAAATATATAGAGTGAAAAGTATGGCTACTTTCCTAATAATTAGGTTCTATTTGTAATTGAATTTTTTGGCTACTTTCCTCTCTCATACGTAAATGAATTGAAGAAAAATGAAGGATTGTGACATTGTGTGAACGCAAGTGTGATCGATGGATTAGTCGCCAAGTTGCCCGCCAACATTGGTGCAGCACTGTTCAACACTAATCCGACCAAATCAGAGGCGCTAATTACGGTGATATATGTATTGTGTTTGGCTCAACATTTCTTTTCCTGAGAAACGAGAATGATTTGAGACAATGGATATTATAGCTCATTGATGTCATGATGTGCACATTTGTAATTAAAATAAACGTTTATATCATTTTTGGTCCCCCAACTATTAAGTCATTGACACTTTTAGTACTCAAATGTGATTTTTTCACTTTTAATCCCCGACTATTGTGTTAAAGACACTTTTGATACTTGTGACTTGTCTTTGAAGATTTTCATATTTAGTCCTACGACTTTCATACAAATGACACTTTTGGTCCTTCAACTATTATATTAGTGACATTTTTAGTCCTCGATTTTTTGTGTAAAAGCATAGTGGAAGGACTAAAAGTGTCAACTTGAGAATATTCAGGGGACTAAATGGGGAAAGCTTTGAAGTCAAGGACTAAAAATGTCTCCAGCACAATAGTCGAGTACTAAAAATGGAAAAATTAAAAGTCGAGTACCAAAAGTGTAACTGACACAATAATCGAGAGGCCAAAATGAAAAAAAAAAACTCTTAAAATAATAGAAACTTCAAATAAATTTAAAAAAGTTGAATTGATTTACAAAAATACCACCATATTTTGTAATTTATGGTAGTACAAAAAATGATGGTCACCACGTTTTTAACACAATTTACTACTCCCTCGGTCTCTCTAGAAGGTTCCCATGAGCGGTTTACGATGCTTGACTGACTATTCCTGTTCACACTCTGATTATTTTTAGTAAATAAAATTTACATATTCAGAAACTGCATTAAAACCGCTACAAAGCCTAATAAAAAAATTGTAAATTTGATATATAAAGTAAAAGATTAAAAATGTTTTAAATTAATCATGTGAATAGTTGACGTGAATCTTCTAACGGGACGGAGGTCGTACATTATTGACATTTTAGAGTTATTGGACCTCAAATTCAATGCACGGTATCCAATGATATTAAGATGCTTTCTATTACTACGTGGAACCTTAACGTGTACTCCTATAGAGGCTATGTAATTTTTGTGATACCACTTTTTGAATTTTGCAAATCCAACACATGCTATACACTAGATAGAAGAAATTCACCTCAATAAGGAAATGCTTTTATCGGATTTTAATTCTTTGACGAATGTAACAATAAGACTAAGGAAGTGTTTGTATTTGATTAAAAAAAAACATTTTTAAGCTTTTGACTTAAAAAAAGTTGAAATTAGTGTTTTCAAACATCAACTTCTGAAAGATGGATATGAATCTTTTAACTGCTTCTAGTTTTTTTTTGTAAATAACTCAAATTCCAAGGATAATTATAATGGCAAATCTTTCATCCAAACCACAAATATCCTTCGGCACCCTCCTCCTTGCTACGCTAGACCTGCTTCACGAGACTGCAAATCTGCTCATTCGCTTCACCATGTAAGATGCCCCAGAACTACTAAGGATTCCCGCTTAGAGAAATAGGCAGCATCCTCCCTAATTCGCAACCTGCTTACCTCTTTTCCCTATTCATTTAAGAATTGCTGTTATTCAATACTCGTATTATATACTACGTAATATTTATATAGTACGAGTATATTTTTGCAGAGTCAAATACAAGTACCTGTATTCAAGAGTAAAGAATGATTGAAAATGTCAAGAACTTTTGAGATGGAATTGTTGCAGAGAGGGCAACTTCCCCTTTGAACCCAGAGCTCTCTTGAGCACTCCCATTTAATCCGTAATTTGAAGAAGGGTATATTGGTATTTTAATAAAATATAGCATCAAAATTCACTTTTATACCAAACACTCGAACTTTTAACTTTTTAACAAAAATCACTTCTATTCTAAAACACTTAAAACAATTGCTTTTTTAAAGTAGAAACAAACTCAAACACTCCCTAACACTTGTGATCCTATTTTAATTTCTTTAATTGGTCTGATGGGATCTTTATTTACTATACTTAGTAATCTAGTATACTACGCAATATTTATTTTATGTTAAATGTCAGCATGCTTAAACTGGAATAGAAGTGATCTCCTCCTTGAAAGTGTCATATC